AATTTTAATCCCTTGGTGATTTCTGGCGAGCCATACATAACTTAGTTGTCCCTTTGAACTTAGTTCTTGGGATCTCCAGTCATATAAGTAGGGTTACCATTATGACGACTCTTATGTAATAGGCTTTAATCCCATCCCCTTCGATGAACTATACACTAGCTCTTTTGTCAAACCTTTTGTTAACGGATCTGCAATATTCTCTTTAGATTTTATATAATCTATTGAGATTATTCCATTTGACAACAATTGCCTTACGGTATTATGTCAACGGCAAATATGTCGTGACTTACCGTTATACATATAATTATGTGCCCTGCCTATTGCAGATTGACTATCACAATGAATGCAAATAGCTGGCACAGGTTTTGGCCACATTGGAATGTCTTCTAAGAAGTGACGAAGTCATTCTGCTTTTTCTCCTGCTTTGTCTAAAGCAATGAACTCGGATTCCATTGTGGATCGCGCAATGCATGTTTGTTTCGTGGATTTCCAAGAAACAGCAACGCCACCCAGAGTGAAGACATATCCACTTGTGGATTTTGAATCTTTAGTATCTGATATCCAATTTGCATCACAATAACCTTCAAGTACTGCTGGATATCGAGTAAAGTTCAAACCATGATCACGGGTGAATCTTAGATATCTAAGAACCCGAATGATCGCCTTCCATGGTCTTCTCTGGGGTTACTAGTGTACTTACTCAATTTACTGATAGCATAAACTATATCAGGACAAGTACAATTTATTAGGTACATTAGGCTTCCAATGATTTTGGAGTATTTTAACTGAGACACCGCATCACCTTTATTTTTTGATAAATAAAGATTGACTTCTACAGGTGTTCTAGATAAATTCATATCATCCTTGATAAATTTACCAATAATTTTCTCAATATAATGTGATTGAGATAATGCATATCCGTCAGATGTTTTAGTATTTTCTCAATAAATTTTTCATGCCATTGCTTAGGTGATTGTTTTAATCTATAAAGAGATTTTACAAACCGACAAACTTTCTTTTCTTGCCCCAATACTACAAGCCTTTTAGGTTGCTCCATATAGATCTCTTCATTTAGATCACCGTTTAAGAAAGTTATCTTAACATCCATTTGATGTATTTCTAAATTAAACAACGATGCTATAGCAATAAGCATGCGAATGGATGTTATTCTTGTCACAGGGGAATATGTGTCAAAATAGTCCAGACCTTCCTTTTGTCTGTAACTTTTTACTACAAGTCTTACTTTATACTTGTCTATCCATCTATTTTCATTTTTCTCTTAAATATCCACTTATAACCAAGAGGTTTAGAACCTGGTGGAAGATCCACCAATTCCCAAGTATGATTTTGCATAATGGACTCAATTTCATTATTAACAGTCTCTTTCCACAAAAGTGCTTCAGAACCTGTCATTGCTGCCTTAAAGCTTTGAGGTTCATTTTCTAACAGGTACGTCAGAAAATCTAGACCAAAGGATTTTGATGTTCTCGCTCTCTTACTTCATCTTGGTTCATCATCAGTTAAATCCTGTTGGTTGAGACCATTACTAGTCTCTTGTGTTTGATTGTCATTAGTCTCTTGACTTTGCGTACAATCAAAAGTTCTTTTCTGTGAACATAATTCATGTCCTTTCTTGTAAGGAAAGACATGTTCAAAAAATACAGCATTCCTTGACTCTATAATAGTATTCATATTTATATCAGGTATTTCTGATTTATAAGTCAGAAACCGATATGCACTACTATTCTGAGCATAACCAATTAACACACAATCTACTATTTTTTGTCCAATCTTAGTCTTTTTAGGAACAAGAACTTTAACTTTTGCCAAACACCCCCACACTTTTAAGTATTTGTAGGAAGGTGGTCGACCTTTCCACAATTCATAAAGAGTGCTGTTGGTTTTCTTGTGGAGTATTCTGTTAAGAACATAATTAGCAGACAATATTGCTCCCCCCCCCACAAGTTCTGTGGTAAACCTGAACTTAGTAACATGGCATTCATCATTTCTTTTAGGGTTCTATTCTTCCTTTCAACAATTCCATTTTGCTGTGGAGAATAAGGTGTTGTAGTTTGGTGAATAATGCCATGTTGTGCACAAAATTCATTTAATGGTACAACATATTCACCACCCCTATCACTTCTAATATAAATCAAAATATAACATCCATCACTTGTTGTCTATGATGTACTTGATTCATAAATTTCAAATAAAAAATTTCAAAATAATTATGACTACACAAATCAGAATTAATGTTTTGACAAAATCATATCCTCATAAAAATTTTGCCTAAGAATCAAACAATTCAAAAAATCCATTTTATTGTAAGAGATACAATCAAATATTTGTGACAAACGAAAATTACATTATCTCATCTAATGCAAGAGATACACTCCCATATTAATATAATGGTTTATGGTTTAATAAATTCTACTACGCAAGTAAAATAATAATTAACGACATCTCATGTCACAAATTCAAAACAAACTAATAACCAACATAAAAGATTTCTTTAAATTTACTTCAAATTAAATAGAACGATATAACTACATACATCTTCATGTTTTAAATTTCTCTAGTGTTTAAACACCCATTCTAAATTAATTAGAAATACTCAAATTAATCTGCTTATGTACAAAGTCAACATATCAATTTATCATTCCAAATCACAAGAAATTATTTTTTAAGAAATAACTTGTGTTGATATCAATACATGCATATCAAACTCATCAACTAAGAATAATGAATTAACAAAATAAATTAATCATGCATGATTCCATAATTTGCATCATGAGATAAAAAGATTCTCAATCCATAAATAAAATCCAACGCGTTTTAAATTTTAAACTCCAAAAATGACAAAACATACATTCATTTAATTAGTTTGATTTGTACATAAATAAACTAATCATATATACATTAAAATGTCCTTGTGAATATATATATATATATATATATATATATTTTCCGACTCATGTGCAGAAACTATTCACGACTATGGATCCATACACAGAAATTAAAGAATGAATTAGTAAACCAATAAAGAAAATAAACTTGCCACAAAGGTTTCTTCCTAATAAAAATAAAATTAGTTTTTAAAACTAATATTTGACTCCAGAATCAAATACTTCCATGTATACTCACGAGGAACTATGATAAAGTCAAAAGAACTAACACTTTTTCACAATTTAAGTGGCCTTCCAAATGAAACCGTAAGTCACGTACAAAATTTACAGATTGTGACCGAGACACAAAGTTACATGATCGATTAACAAAATTAATTTTCTAGTTACTAGAACCAGAAAATAAATTATAACACAAAATAATTTTATTTTCCTTGTTACTAAAACTAGATAAATAAAATACCAAAATAATATCTGATTACAAAAATCAGAAAAACAAACCACAAATTAATTTTCTAGTTACTAAAACCAGAAAATAAATTATAATACAAAATAATTTTATTTTCCTTGTTACTAAAACTAGAAAAATAAAAAACCAAATAATTTTCTGTAACACCAAATAATATTATGCAATTGTTAATGATACCAGTATATTACTACTAATTGTCAAAGAAAATAGACAGTATATTACTACTATCCGTCATATAATTTATAAATACTATTTGTATTTTTCAACCAGAATATTACCTTGAAAACACAGAAAATTAAATACAATGAAGATACCAAAAAAGAATCTGTCTTAAGATTGTTGGACAATCTTCACTGTATTTAAATAGATTAAATTCTATTGTGTACAAAACAACAATAAGAATATAAAGAAATAAAAGAAAACGAGTGAATTTGTTTGATTACAAAAATCAAACTAGAAATAAATAAATAAAAACATATTTTATTTTATTACAAAAAACAAAATTAAAATTTTAATAAACAAATAAAACAGAATAATAAATTAAACAACTTACTTGATTAATTTCTTTTAATAAATGTTTGATCAAGTCCAGTATTTGACACTGTGTCCTTAAGACAGATTCGTCATCTCTATGGTACTTTCAGAATGTGGACGCCTATCTCCCAGAATAAAATGATCAACTACAAACAATAGCAGTACTACAAATTGTTTGCCTAACGAACACACTAAGTGTTTATACTCTTTCTCACAAAAACTAAATGAAGCAAAATGAAGAAGAAATTTGCAGAGGTGAAGTACGAAATTTCTGAATATGTAAAACATCAAATGAGGGATGTCCTATTTATAGATGGATTGGTGGCTGCAGGTTTTGAATTAAACAGGTGCAAACCTGTTTGAACAGGTATGAAACCTGTTTGGTTTTGAATTTAAATAGATTTGAATATGTTAACCGGACCAGTTTATTTCTGGAATTAATTTGAATTCTGGATTTTATTTTACCAAAAAATAAAATAAAATTCAAATGTTTTTAATCCAAAAAGATAGGTATTGGGCCGAACAAGCCCAACTACATACCACGCGCCCCAAGCCCAGGCCGCCCGACCGGACGGATGGCGGTGGCGCTCATGGTGATTTTTGGGTCTAATGGGTCTAGCCCATTTTGCCCATAACCTCCCTCTCTAAAACACTTGGGTATCCTTTGAGACACACCCCAAGGCCCCATTTATTTTGGGTTATAGGGAGGGGATTGAGATTCATAGTGAGGTAGAACCCACTAATATTATGTTTGTTTTGAGAGATGGAGAGGGGATTCATAATCCCCTCCGGACTACGAATCCCCTTGGGGAGGGGATTAGGATAGGCCTGTAAGACTTGGTATTAGAAAAATAGTCTGGCAGACTAGAAATTTTTTATTTTTATTTATTTTTTACATGTCGGGTATTTTTTTTTGAACATTAATGTTTAATTTTTTGTATTTTTTGTTAAGTAAAAATCATTATTTTATTTATTTTATTTGAAATTTTTTATTTTATTTTTATTTTTTAAATTTTTTTATATGTTGGGCATTTTTTTTAAAACATTAATGTTTAATGTTTTTGTATTTTTTTATTATTTTATATAAAAATAATTTAACACAACCTCATCACCAAGAATTGCAATCACTTCTGCAACGATGCATGTCTCCGTTTGACTGGGAAACCTATCCCCCGCTGGGTTAATCGACTTGCTCGACTTGGTAAGAACGCATTTACATAACTAATTGAGTTTTAATATTTTTTATTACTAATGATCTGCTCTTTTTGGTGTTTGGTTTGAAGTTATAATAAGCATGCATTTGCCTACATAGACAAAATTGCATACTAGTTTTGGACGATATTATTTTTAGAGCCATTTTGGTTGCTTCAAAAGCTTCTTGAATTTTTTTGTGAGCTGCCTCATTTGATTTTTGTTATATTGTATCTTAATTGTGTTCCCATGTGAACAAAATCAGAGAAAAGGTGATATGGTTTGCCGTGGCCATACTTCACTCTGTGATTGGTTGGTACATGGACCACCAAATTTAGGTAGTCCTATCTAATCCATTATTTTAATCTGTTAGGAAATTAATTTGTTCTTTCGAGAAAGCTCACCTAATGGTACCAACAGCTAGGTGAAAGACAATTTGCCCAGAGTGTTGCTTCTTGGGAGTGAATGAAAGAAAGAAAAAGTAAAAATGAAAATTGTATTTGAAATCTATCTGTGACAGATTATTTTTTGAGGGATCTGTGGGTACGTCATAATAAGTGAACTTATTGTCTAATAAGTTCTATGATAATTAATGGTGTTTTTCATCAAACGCTATTAAAAAACGTCACTAATTGTTAATTTTCAGCGACAATTTAAAAATTGTCACAAAAAATGTCATTAATTATAAACTTTAGCGACATTTTAAAAAAATCTGTATGAAAAAACGTCACTAATTTTTAACTTTCAACGATAGTTTGAAAAATTCATCACAGAATTATGTTACTAATTGTAAATTTTAGCTATAATTTATAAAAACAATGACAACAAAAAGTCACTAATTGTTCATTTTTAGCGACAAGCAAAAAATTATCACAAAATTATTTTTAGTGCTAATTTTATTGAGACTTATTTTCAATAGAACTTTATGGGAATTAAGTCTAATTATTACAACATATTGGTAGTGTACCCTTATTTTTCTTAATTCCTTCATAATTGTAATATTCTTTGTTGTATTGTTGCATTCGTTTTGAAGGTTTTCTTTGCAATTGTGTGCTCCCGGCGGGTTTGAATGAGACGAAGGTGCGACATATTAGAGAAGAAGATAGAGCTTATGAGAAGAAGAAGCTAAGAAGTGATCCAAGTAGGTTTATATCTCCTTCAGGTTCTGAAGCCAGAAGAAGTAGACACAGATCTCATCCTCCTCCATCTCCATCATTGATTTATTCTTCTTCTCCCTCACCCTCGACTGTGAAGCTTTAGCAGCAGTTTGTTTTTGGAACTACAAAGGATTATTATTATTATTATTATTCAATTTTTTTTTGTGTGAGAGTGTGTGAGAGAAAAGCAACAGCAACAGCAACAGCAACAGCAACAGCAACAGAAGGTCATTTAAAAAATTAAAATTTTATATATGTTATACATCATTTTACATCTCCTTTTTCCATGAAGCGCCGCGTGATAATAAGTCAAAAGAAAAATGCTTGGGAGCACTAATTAGTGCTCCCATTAATTAGGTGGCAGTGGGTCTCGCCATTAATGATGTGATGTTTTGGTCTTGGAGTTGTATTTTTTTTTTTTTTTTTTACTTTTTTAATGCATTAGTGCTATTAGTGGTGATGTTTTTAGTGGGATGAATCATTGTTGTAAGTCAAAAAGGGTAGCGTCTGTTGCTTCGTACAGAAAAGCGTCTGTCTCGTTCAACTAAGTAGATTTTTAGTATCAATAATGATTCATCCCATTAAAAATATCACCACTAATAACATTAATACATTAAAAAAGTAAAAAAAAAAAAAAAACACAACTCCAAGACCAAAACATCACATCATTAATGGCGGGACCCACTGCCACTTAATTAGTGGGAGCACTAATTAGTGCTCCCAAGCATTTTTCTTTTAGTATAAATAAAATTGTTTTGTTCGGCGAAAAATAAAAAATTTTAAGAGAAAAAAATTGTGTATTCAAAAATTTTGATTGTGGGCTTATTTGGTTTGTTTTTGGGAGAGTTATTTTTGAAAAAAATTTGAAAGAGTTGTTTTAGAAATTTTTTTGGTTTGTTTGGTTGTATATTTTGAGAGACAAATTTTTTTTGGAAGTTTGGGATGATTTGATATTTTGGGAGAATTGAGTAGATGTGTGTGAGAGAAAAAGTGATTGAGAATGAGAGAGGAGAGAGGAGAGAGGAAAGAGAAAAAGTGATTGATTGATGTGTAAGAGAGAGAAAGTGATTTTAGAAAATTTTTTAGAAAAATCTCAAACCAAACAAATTTTTGAATTTTTTTTTCTAAAACTCACTTCCCAAACTCAAACCAAACAAGCCCTGTATTTTTCGCTTTGTTCTTTCATTTTTACAGTTAAGTGTTGTGTTTATTCTAACACTTTTATATCTATTCTTTGTGAGAGAATCATTGTAAACGATGGTTGAAATACCTCTTATCTTTATTTATTATTTTGTGAGAAAATTTTGTAAAAATGAGACATTTACTGTTGAGCGAGACTTAATAGATAAGAGTAAGACCTATGTAAAATTTACAAGCTTGGTGAAGCTTTGGTGGTGTATTGATTTGTTTTGATAGTGAAAAAAATTCTCTAGGAGAATCCTTGAAGAGTGGACATAGGCTCGGTATAGCGATTCTGGTTTGGACCTAACCCGTTGATGTTTTAGATTCAGGTTTCATTGTCTTATGTGGTCATTCATGTCTTGTTTCCCTTTGTTCCTCTTTGAGTTTGGTGGTTGGAATGTTTTGGTTACATTTGGAATAGGTTGGTAGTTTGTTTTTCAAATTGTTGTTGTCCAGAATTTTGTTCCTTCACTTGAGCGACAATCTTTTGTTTGTAAAACTATTGGGAGTTTGTATTCTGCGCTTGAGCGGTGAAATTTATTGTATCTAGTCACTCGAGCGACAGATCTTGTGCTCGAGCAAGCTGCGCGTATATAAAGTTCGTAGTGCGCTGAAAAGGTCAATTTTTTTTTTGCTTTTCTTTTTATCCTCTCTTCCTCTTTTCACCATTTTAGGGTTTCTTCGGCCTTAAAGCTTGGGTTTCATCTAGTTATACCCATTTTCTACCCCTAGTCCTATAGATCAAAGCATAGAGGGTCGCGAAGGCTTCGATTTAATCTGAGCGGATGGTGTTTTCATCGCCGGTGGATTTTCGACTTATCTTCTCTTCGCTTCAAGAGGTAAGGTTTTTGAGTTTCTTTTCAATACCTCACTATAGATAGACTTGTGGTAATTTTTATGGTATTTAAAAACATAGTTTATTGTTGGTTTTTGTTAAAATGGATATGGGTGGATTTGGGTTTAAATTGGCAGTTTATGGGTTGTGTGTTATAAATCACATTTTGGATATAAATTGGAAAGGTTTGGTATTTCGTTTATAAATTTGGAATATTAAAGAGAAGTTTATTGTTAAATAGAAATGGGGCAATGATGTGGTTGTTTATGAATGATTGGGATTTTGGATTAATGTTGGTTGATGTGACCATTGTGGTGTTTGTTGGGATTTGGAGTAGTGAGGTTTTATCTTCAAAACAAAATGGAACTAATTACCCTTTTTATAAAACATGAGAGTTGCAATGACGGGAGTACGAAATTACCTAAAGGTGTATTTAATACTTTGGATTATGTAATTGGCATCTACAGTTTTATCCTTGGCCATCGGTGGAGGATGGTATTAATTGTTGTTAGATATATGCCATGTGTACTATTGTAGGATGACCTATGTGATATGAGGTGATATGTTGTTGATTGTAAGTGGACATTGTGAATACACAATTCCATAATTGTGTTATGAATTATGTTGTTAAAGAGGTAATTGCAACATTTATAAATGTTGTTTCCGTTATGAGACTGTTGTTGACTAGTTATGGTTTTGACGTTTAGTATTCCATGATGTGTTTTGGGAATGTTAGAAATAAAGGAAAACCCATGTGGAACGGTAGTTCACGGAGTATATTTTAAAAGAAATGAGTTAATGTAATTAACTGATTGTGGCTATTATGGTGGTGATCGAACTAGGTGTATGTATTACACCGTGTATTATTGATGTTGGTTAACGTGATTGTGTTTTTATTGTGATAATGGTTAGGGGTCCGTTTCCCGCCGCTTTGAGCCAACAAAGGTGGCACTTTGACAGAAGTTTTTTCGTCCTCTCTGATAAGCGCCCGATAAAGTGTGAAAGAGGGTCCATTTCTCGCCGTATCCTAGCCGGCAAAGCGTGGCGCATTGTAATAGGTTCTTCATTCCCTTCCGGTTTGCGCTCGATAACGTATGACCTAAGAGGCACCCCCTTCTGGGTGAGGCTGGTAAAGTGTTATGTGTTATCTGTGTTGTTGAATCTGCCATCTGTGTTGTAGGCTGGTGGAGATGGAATTGGTAGTATGTATTACTTCAAATGTTCCTTTAGAACGTACATGTGTTACTGGTTTTCATATTGTGATTGCCTTTTAATCCTTGGGCCTGTGGTCGAGGAAGAGAGTGGATGTATTGGGCGTAGATGCGTGTGGCGCAGTAAGATATGGGGTTGGGTTATGACTTATATATGGGGTTGTGTTTTCAAAACAGATGTTTAGTGAAAAGTTTTATCAAAGAAAAAATGGAGTTTTGAAATGTTTGCTTTTGGAAGTAAAACGAGAATGAATGATTTTTATACTGTAGTGTGTTAAGAGAAGCCACTTCTATGAGTATACTTTCAAATATTAACTATCATGTCACGTACACGGTATATCATGGTGCATGCATGATCATTTTTATCTATATGTGGTGATTGGTTAGGATCTTCAGGATCTCTACTGGGCTTAGTACTCATTCCATGTGTTGACAAATTTTTCAAGTATAAGGTTGGAAGATTGCTCGAGACTGAAGTTTTTTTATTTGTTGGTCGAGAGCCATGTATTGTAACAGGGTAAATCCCTTTTTGTTCTTTTTATTTGTTGTTATTTAATGTAAGCCTAAGGGTATCGTACCATGTTCAATTACGTATCATTATCATGGTCGTGAGAGAATGTCATTATTTATTCTTGTTCATATTCTCATATGGAAGGAATTATTTAAAATGAAGTTATTACTATAAAGGATTTGGTAATGAACTCAAGTAATAAAAGTCATGGCATTACATCTTGGTATCAGAGCGAGTCGGGTCGAATACTTTGAGCTCGTGGGAAGTGGTTTTACCATAGTGGGTTTGCTATGCTTGGTGAGGACGTTGCATATAGATGATTTATGTGTTAAGACTTTATATGTTGCATTTGTGTGAGCATGGAGTTAAGTTTCCTGAATAATGCTTGTCACCAATAAACTTACTTTGAGGTTCTATTTGAAATATACCTGATCAACGTGATTTCTAATAGGAATTTCTTGAAAGTTTCGAAGCGAATAGTTATGTCGTTGACTTAATTCGATTATGTGACTAAGGCAATGTTTGGGAAGGCAAGTTGGGGCTAAATTAGCCACGTTCGGACAAAAAAGGCTAATTTAGCCAAATGAAGTCAAAGCAGAAATCACGGGTTGGGTTCAAACCCTTTTGGGATAAATTTACCAAAATACCTTGACTGTTCCCTCTGAATCTGATGCCCAACGCCTCACCACACACACAACCTTCCTAGGGCACACAACAAGCAAAGGAGACGATTAATGTATACCAGCGACGACGACAGTTGAGGCATCTTCGCAGAGGTGATCGGCAATAGAGTACGCATCTGCGGCATCGAAGAAGACTCGCGAACAGGTCGGCAAATTGAACGGTTGGGGCGTACGTTGGCGGCGGCGAACAAGAACGAACCCTCTCAAACACCACCGATCTTCAGGTAATGCTTTATGGCTGTTCTGATTTCGTTTCCCTTTTCATGTAAATCCGTCCCCTGCTTTCGATCTGCTTAGGGTTCATGTGTGGAATCCCCTTCTCTGTTAAAGACAATTTTTTTCCAAATTTCAAATGAAAACAGGACTCTGTTTTTTGGGGCTAAATGCTGAAATTAGATTTTTCAAATTTCAAATTTCAAAGGAAGTGTGGAATCTCTTTCACTGTTATGCCTCACCTAAAATCTGAATGCTGAAATTAGATTTTTCTCAAATATGAAACATGTCTGTTAAAGAAATGGAAAGTGGTGTAAATCATGTATGTTAAAGAAATGGAAAGTGGTTGATTTGTGAATGAAATCGAAAGTGGCGTAATTCTGTGAATGAAATCTGATTCTGTGAACAATTTCATATTAGAAGTTCAATTTGATTTCTTATAATTCTCATTCTCTTAAAAACTGGTTGATAGTGTTTCTTATAATTCCATTAAAAATGAAAAATTTCAGATCACAAGTTCAAATTGATTTGTCAATGCTGAATAAAATCTGATTTTGTGAATGAAATTTGAAATTTGAAACCA